ACTGATGGGTCCTTTGGTAACAGAAACTACCGAGGCAGTTGGATTTCAGGAAAAAAACTGTACCAATAATAGTCTGGAATGACAGCTTTACAGTGGCACTTCATCTGTGAGATGAAAAAGATTCATGAACGATGAAGGAATAAGAATAAAACACAGTGACAAAAATAAAATGATCTTGCAAAATTCCATATGAATTCCAGATTCAAGATGAAACTGGAACTGATGGCCCCTTCTCAGGCCTGCTGCCCACTGTGCTGTCATGACATCAGCTCTGCTCGGGTTCACTATTTCTCCAACAGCAAGTCAAGAAAAGATGCCTCAAATCTCCCAATTTCCTATACAAATTCATGTCCAAATTCCAGGACTCCCAGGGGCAGTCTGGGCTTCTGAGTAATGCATTTTACACGGAGACACACCTGGAAACACTGCTGATGAAAATTCCTGTCTCACATTACTTATTATATCACTGAAACTACACACACAAAATGCAATTGTTTTTGAAAGGGAGATTATGTCAGCAGACTGATTCAGCAATCTGTTCTGACTATTCGAATAATTATGTTACATAAGCTTCCGCGACCCATAATTGAGCTCTGTAATCACATTTGTGTGTGTTGGTGTTAGCACTACTTAACAGCTTTTAATGCTGTCCTACACCAAATTTCCATCAGGATTCAATCAGGAACTGTCATAGCCACTACACTGCATGTCTAATTGAAAGGTCATCCATTTATGTTCCTGTACGTTCATAAAAAGAGGATTTTCATTACACAAAAGTGCACGGCAGTGAGGAACAGAGAGACAGCAATGTTGTAATAGCCAAAACTTCTTGTGTGCCTCTTAAGGTATGGCAAGCTGAAACAACACAACTATTGCAGAGGTATTTGTAATATTTATGGTGATGGTCATATACTGTACTATTTGTGACAGTTGCTTGTGTTTTACTTGGAGTAAAAAACGTTTTACTTTTCTAACTCAAGGAAATTTTATTTAATTTCTTTGTTAAACATAAATACTCAAATGTACAGTATGCAGAATTTGCATAGATGAAGTTACAGCCTTGTAACCTTTCTTGAGTCTTATTGACACAATCCTTCTTTGTTGTTTATCTTCTCACCAGAGTAATTTAGTTATTAGCACTTCCAGTTCTACACAGACACGCACACGAATAAGTAAGAGTGTACTTCCAGACTAAACACCACTGCAAACTGTATGGCAATAGCTGACACAGTGTGGTGCTATCTGGGTCAGAACTGAATTCATAGTTAGAGGTACTGTACTAAGTGTTTTCGGTGCTGGCTATGATCCTGTCGTTATGCTGGCCTGAGCTTTCAACAGCTGACCACTGGCCAACCTCATCCCTGCTCTCCAAGGAGCTTTCCATGCAACCATGGCAACCATGGCTCACTTCCTTTCATCTTCCTCTCAAGGAAACAGGCTGCAGCACCAATATACATCCCCCCCAACACACATCTCCTCTCTCTACCACAGCTGCTTCCTGATTGGATGAACTTTTGCCGATAGCTAGGTGAAGTTTCCTTTTCTCTTTGTACTTGTCATTTCCTGCTTAGTATTGTGGAAACGTGTAAAAACGGGGCCTGACCATGTGCAGATTAAGCTTAAAAAGGGTGGATCTTGCCTATATATTAGCTGCTCACATACTGTACCTGAGGCTAAAAGAAAAAATCTGATTTAATGTTTGGTGAAAAGTAAGGCCCTTACCAATGGTTTTTCCCAGCATGGGAGAAAAGTAGTTCAGATAGGCAGAGCTCACGCTCATCTTTCTTAACCAGACGATGGAACTTTAGAACCAGCCAGCTTTCTCCATTCACCCTGACAAACATGCCCAACATGCGCTCAGACATCCTCCCCACAACTGCCTGAAGCCTCTCGATGGGAATGCAGGATTTACAAACAAGACTCTCTAACACCTATGCTATTACGCAATAGAGGATTCCACAAAGAGTAAAGCTCTTCATCAGCTGTCACCAAATCCAGGCATAAATTCCTATATTTATCATTGCTTTCGATTACAGCCTTAATGTTGAAACATTAGGGCTTATTCAGATAAGATTTGCATAGAATTCCCAACAACCTTCAAAAAATGGATGAACGTGACCATCAGATTAGTAATTTACTAGCAATGAGATGATGTAGATGGTCCACCTGCCCTCCATAGAAGTAACAGTTCTATTACTTTTTAAAACATATAATGTACGAACTTTGTGGAATGCACCAAATTCACCAATTTCCGCAGTGCGCCCTTGTACATTTTGTGTCGCATAATTCCCTTTGGCAAAGGTCTTGCGGAATCTCTTGAAAACTTGCTGGTGAGAAAGTGACATGACACTGACGTAGCCAGTTCAATCATTTTTCAATATAAATGCCACTATCTTCCTAAACAAACCTTTTGCGAAACACCACACTCAGCACAAACCCTGTGAGGACTTCTGTTGATTTAGAAACTTTAATCACAAGCGGTCTCTGGTATTTAATTAACATATTTCTTCAGACTTTAAATCATGTTGTTGTCCCTCCCAACCAGCTCCTGCGTGATTTGGAAATAGACCCAAAGAGATCACCGGGCTACAGAATGCATTTGATGTCCACAGCTCCTGGTTTTCAATATCTGCCGTCAGGCTGGCACAGAAGCACAGTCCCACAATGCCTCTGTTGTCTGGCGTCTGATCCGCAGTGGGCCACGGTGTTGTTGTAATAATGCAGCATTTATTCCACTGCTTTACTTGGGAGCTTGTACAAAGGAAACTGCAATAACGCCCTGCTGGGAGTGCCCTCCTGGGGCTCTTTGTGGAAGCAGTAAGCCCCTGATTGTTGTTTGTAGATCTAAGTATCTCAGCTGAACCACCAGCCTGGAGCATACACAATAAAGAGCACTGGCAGCATATTCCCAGGAGCTGCTGAGAAAGGAGGGATTTCACATTGGATTTGAATCCCCCCTGGACACCATAGCCAGTTACACACCGAGCCATACTGATCCCAGTAAAAAAAAAGACAGCATTTCTTAAAAGAGTCAGTAGTAACATAATTTGATTTCAAATGAAAAAAAAAATGGCAAAGCGGCCTTGTGTCCAAGAAAGAGGTACAGTATTTGTACGGCCATATTCTGACCAGAACCGTAACTGCTCTTGTGGTTGGGAAAACACAGATGCAACATCCTGTAGCTGCTTGCCAACTTAATTTCTTGGTTATTTCCCCTGACAGTTGCAGAAAAAAGAAGCCCATTGATAGTTCTTTGCAAATACTTAAGTAATTTAAGAATGTTTCACAAAGACGAATCAGGCCTAAGTCAATCATTTAGCTTAAGGTTATATTGAGATTTATCAAATGAACTTCCAATTCAACTGGGGGTAGAAGAACAACAACCAGCAGGACATTCTCTTTGAAAACTGTCAAAAGTTCTTTCTAAATGCACATGGGAGTCTTGGTCCATTAACCTCTGCCCACTGAACTCTGGTGTCTCTGTAGACAATTATTTTTTAATCCAGTAGCCCTGTAAAGCCCCTTGCACTTCTCTTCAGACTCCTCCTCATTCTTTCTGAGTACAGAGAGACCTCTGCCCCCCTCTTTACAATGCCACCCCCCATAGATCTACATGTATTTCACACTACTGCAACTCTATTATGGCAGCTGAAGCACATTCTTTGGTTAGGAAAACTGTTACACACTGTTTAGGGAAATGCTGGGATTTAAAAGTGTATTAGATGTCCAGTTTGTGACTTGATAAGCAGTGCTTATTAATCCGTAAAAATGAAAATGGCAAGGAATTGTAAGCATGATCTGTTTTTAAAGTTTTAATTTAGAAATCACTTTAAATGACTTTTGCTGTCATTTAAAACACAATTTGTCATTTGAAACTAAATGTATAATTAGAAAAGAAAGAGAAAAGGTAGGGACTACAGGGGACAGAAGAGGAAAGAGGGCAATTTACTATAATTTTTCCTTCAAAAGCACCACCTGGCCCAATGGAAAAGAAATGGGAAGTTGGTATCTCTGGTAGTCACAGAAGCCACGCGAAGAGTTAAGGTTTGGTCTCACGCATCAATGTTTTTTTTGTCATGAGGAATTTCGTGAGGAGGGCAAGCTCAATATGTGTCCCCTTCTTCAGTGTCCATGTGGAGTGAGTGCAGCAGTGATGCAGCCAGGGCTCTGGGCCTTCTGCCACACACAACAGAGGTCTGTGTCCCAGTGGGAAGGGTCTGGCAGAGGCTCGACTTGGCCCCACCCATCCACAGGCCGCACTGTTTACCCATCGCCGAAGTAACAGAGGGGCCACACGCAGGAGAGCTAGCAGAGCAGGGCAACCCAGGGCAAAAAAACACGACCCTCATATTTTAATTGACATAAAGCTTAATTAATAAATGCTTGGAGATGTAAAAAAACATCTGTATTAACCTTACCACTTTTCCAGTTTATGGTAATTTTATCAATATTATGAAGAAAATGCCTGTATGTTTACATTATTAAAATAACTACCGTTGAAAAGAGGTCAAATTCTCTCTGAGAATTTTTTGGCTAATGTTAAAATTCCACTAAAAACATTTGCTAGAAAGTCATGCTCATTTCCTCAGTGCTGATGACTTTCCTGTTTTACAGAGTCATCCCAGATATCCGGATTGAATCCGAGTCTTACCGAGCAGTTGCTGTTATTGAATGTTCAGGTGCTTGGAGAATTCAGACTCCCAAACTCCTTCCCTAATCCCCCCCAATCCCAACTCCCTCAGTGAACATCCCCCAGTGATAGCTTATAGAAAGCAGCTTTTTGGCTGGCTGGATGCTTTTTTTCCCAAGAAGTGTGGGAAAAGTTATGAAACAGTGTTGAATCTATACATTTCCACTGGCACACTTCTGATTTTGTCAGGCATGCTAATTGCATGTTAAACTAACCAGTGTCTGTATTAATAACTTCAGCCTCCTGTTTTGCCTATAGCTGAACATTTGATTTGCATCGGGAAAAAAAACACTAGCAGAATAGTGCTTACTTTGGTGAGGTAGTAGACAGACTGCTGGAAGGTAAACATAATGACCTCCTCAAGGACTGTCATTGCCTCCTCGCTGGCTGATCTGGTGGCCGACAGCTGAGAATCGGACATTTCTGAAAACAAATCACAGTAGAGACAACAGCATGATCCTTGTTCATGTGTTGAAATGCAAAATAATGAACAGACTTAAATTCTGGAACGTATGCATGAATAACATGCAATTCTTTTTTGTGTGGTCAGATAAGAGTCATGTACAATAACGTAATAATACAACAACCATCTGTCCATTTTCTAACCTCTTTATCCAATACATGTTCATGGGAGGGCCTATCCCAGCAAGCAACGCGCACACTCATACCACGGTCAATTTTCCCAGAAGCCAAATAACAAAGGTCAATTTTAGGTGACAAAGTTTGTGTTTTCAGTTGACATCAATGACCTTAGAAGTATTCCTGACATCCAGTAGGCATGAGGGGAGGTCACTGAATAGTTGTCTTATTTTTGTTTGAGTGGCCCAAAAACAGAATGCAAATCTACAGTGCTTCGATCTCAGTTCAGAATCAAAAGCAGCAGCAGGGAACATCTGCTCATCCCCACCAGGAGACCCAACATCAGGCTGCAGGAATACCAAGGGCAGTCCTGGGAGATACAGACCTGATGCTGACAGATGATAAAGGCTTTAAGCTCTGCTGTCCCGCTAAACAAAGCTACAGTATATAACGCTATACACAGAGACATACAAATTAATGTTCCCAGGCTCTTTATTACTTATTTCATGCCCCACTTAATTACCACATGTATTCTGCCTGTGAAAAGGAAATGCGTGGCTCATATGCAAAATGTCGTGGAGTAGCACCACTTATCTAGCGCTCTTCCTGTCCTGTGGTCACTGTGCACAGTGAGTTCAATCACCTGCTATGTCCTCCTCGCTGTCCCAGTGCAGGAGCTTGGGAACATCCTGCTGGATGAAGTGCAGCAGCTCTATAGAATTGGCCATCCAGAAGACCAGCGGCTGCAGGCCGGGGATGAGCTCCTTGATGCCCAGCAGGCTCAGCTCCTCGGGGTCCGGCTCAGCTCGACTGGAGCCCCTGGAGCGCAGACGAGATCAGATCAGCCAGATCAGCCTTCCCACACTCGTAGGAAAAGACAGCTTCCACTAAAGGACTTCAGCAGCAATCTCTCCAGAGCAACAGGGAGTGAGCCCCTTTAACAGCTGCAGCTCAAATAAAAAACCCTGGCTTAGCAATGCACTTGTCTCCCTCTTATGCTATCCGATGTTTATAAATTGCACTACTTTCCCCGTGTGGCTTGTTCTAAATGACCCATAGGTCTCTACATTGATATGATCACCACAAAAGTAAGGGTGGTTATATTTCAAGGAAGATAAACTGCTATAGGCTGTAGGGTTTGCTCTGGTGAGCAACAGTACTCTAGTATCCAAAAAAATCATATTAAATGATTTCTAGATTTCAATCCTAGAAAGAATACTGCACGGTAACTGCGCTTGCTCACATAGTGACAAGATGTTCCTACAGTTAGATCATGGACTTACAAACTAAGAGCAGGGTAGATTGTCATACTGTACATATATAAATTTTACATCTTTCATTTAAAAAAATGTTATTTTTCCACCACTACAAGACATGCGGTGTTATAAACTGAAGTATTCACACTATGGAGAGTGCTTTTAAACACTAGAAACAGCTTTAATGGGTTTACAAATGGGTTTCTCTCCTAATAGGAGGGACTGTAAGAATCTGTGTTTCCAGCCAATTTAAGTGTTCACATGAATGGTTCACATGAACAAAACAGCTCAGAATCCATTAAAGAGTATGCCGTAAGGCAGACGATTTAGCAATTAAAATGAGCTAGCTGAGGGTGTGGGAGCATTTCTTAAAATATGATTTTAACGTGAGCAAAGAATGATATAATTAATTTTAAAGTGTTGAGCACATGGATAAAGAAGTGGTCTCACATTTCCGACTGGATGGCAGCAAGCTCCTTAGTCCTTTCCTAAGATACAAAAAGATAAGTCATATTTTTGAAAGCTAGAACAGCCAACATGTGAGCAAGTGCTGTAACAAACAAGTCCTCACATTTCTACTGCAGTAGCATGAAGAACTGCTGTGCTGTTTAATTCTGATCGATTAGTTCTGGTTTCTTCACAAATCAGGGCATTTTCCTTTTTGGGATATAAATTAAGATAAACTTAAGAGGCATAACACTTTAATTAAATATGAGTGATATATATTCATTAAAGAAACATTTTCGAAACACTAAGACACAGACACTTCATCCTTCTTTTACCTATCAAACAACTGAAAAGGAAAAGTGTTTTTTTTTTCTTTATTCACCCATACTGGGACACAGCATGGGTGTTCTGTATCTTGCAGAAAAGGATTTCCAAGCATTCTTTCACTGCAGGTAGTTAGATCACTTGCTGTCTGCCACAAGAATTATTCATACAGAAACAAAATAAAGCACAGAGCTGTCATTGTTTAAGATGGCAGCAATGAGGCAAGTTGGCAGAACTCTGGACTCCTGACCAGAGGGCTGTGGGTTCAAATCACAGGCGGTAACACAACCCCTATAACCTTGAACTCGAGGCTTTATTCTAGTATTCTATACCTATACTATGTTCTAGTATTCAATAGTATATATGTACCAAAATATATATTCAAAAATCATAATAGGTATTTGTAATCCCAAGAAACAGCTTTGGATTAAAGCATTCTGTCACTTGACATAGAGTTCTCACTACGGTTTATGAGAAAAAAATAATCTTATTTTAAAAAGAACAAAGTTGAATAATTAAGGCCCTAGTGGAGGACAATGTGGTATACATTGATACAGTAGTTCAATTGATACAGTAGTGCAGAGCTTTAGCAATTCAAATGAGTTCCAAGAGAATGTTGAAACGTTTCTGAAATTGCAGAGTGGCGTTTCCAAGCGGACACAACTACGCTTTTCCCCACAGTTCTGGGAGGACATCGCCAACTGGTTCTGACAGACTCAGCCCTACAGATACATACCCACATGGCTGTCTGGACCTGGCTGGCTATCCTGAGCAGAAGCCTGCGGATGTCAGCCATCTCCAGGGAAGTGGCCGCGTGCTGGATGCAAAGACACAGCAGGAAGGCCGGGGTGAGGCAGGGGTCGCTTCCCTTGGGGTCGGTCAGGTGGATGATCCTCCTAAGCAGCTGGTCCTCGTGCCCGGGGTCATACGGGAGGGAGAGGTCTTCCCCGTCGGGGTCCTTCAGCAGGGGCAGCGGTCTCAGATAGGCAGCTTTGGACTTCAGGGCAGAGCCGCACGTTCTGCAGGTGCCCGTCGAGCCAGGGGCGTGCGACATCAGCCACGCGGGTCTCTGGTTGGCGGCGGGGGCAATGGGGTCCTTGAACATGAAGACGTAATGGTCGCCCAGCCCCAGGAGGTCCCCCGGCCGGAGCTCAGCCTCGTCTTTGAGGGGGGCGCCGTTGTGAGTCACGGGGGCGCCGTGGAGCGGCCGCGCCAGTGTCACCGTCCTCTTGGCTCTGTCCCCCTGGCCGGGGGTCTCCAGGCGACGCACGCAACAGTGCTGAGGCAGGACGTCCGGAGCAGAGAGCAGGATGTCCACTTTGAGGTGCTCTACATCCTCCCCGGTTGAGTGCTCGCTGCATCGCCCAAAAATGTGGGTCACCCCGCTCAGTAAGTAAATGACGAAATCCTGGAGAACACAGATGGGACCCACGTCATAAACACACCGACACAGATCAAGACCTTTGGCCTACTCTTGATAGATAAAGCTCTCAGGTTTTACAATCCTGCTGAACCAGGGTGGTTATCGCTCCTGTGCGAGGGCATTCATGCATCTATTCTGGTCACGCTGAGGCCTACAAATCAGTGCGAGAGCAAAATGGAATAGAATGGTTGAATAATCAAGAGCTGAGCCAGAATAAAATTCTAGGACCAGGTCTGGAATATTCTGATCTAAAGAAACAATCTTGTTTGTGAGCCTTAACAACAACTGTTTGTGATTTTTTAACAACTAAAAATCTGCCCCTTGTATGAAGATGCACCAGAAACCCCAGTTGAGTTTCCTTTGCAATCTTCAGGCTCGAGATGTGAACTCAGTTCTGACATGGACTCTGGAATGCAATTTATTGGACAATACAGCATTAAAAACATCCACCCACCCATTTTCTAACTGCTTTATCCAATTCAGGGCTGCAAGGGAGCTGGAGCCTATCCCAGCAAGGAACAAGCATATAGCAGGATGCATGCCTGGAAGGGAAGCCAATCAATTGCTGGGAACATACACTCACACCACGGTGAATGTCCCCAGAAGCCAGTTAACCTAACAGTATGTACTTGGACTTTGGGAGGACACCGAAGTTACCAGTGGAAACCCATACAAAAACATTAGAACAAACTGTACAATGCTAACCACTACGTCACCATACTGCCCACGCTTCAGACAAATTGAACATAATCTTACAATGGAAGAGCAGCGCGGGCCACATTCTAAGAGAGGCAACCCAATGTTGACACACAGCTCAACAGCTGTGATGGTTAATCCAGGACGCTGAGAGTTTATTCCAGCTCAATGCTTTGATTTGTAGCTCTGAGAGGTTTATGCTTCCTTTCACAACAGGAGGATCAAATGAGACTTTGGCAAAGAGTATGTCACAAATCCTATCCCTAATTTTCTTGCCCAAGAGGTGTGTGTCACCATTTCAAGTTAGTCCAACAGCGAAAGGCTTGGCTGCAGTTCTGGAAGCATTCATTGATTTCTCCTTTCATTTCAATTATGCATTGACCTCCCGCTAACTCTTTTTTTCAATCTCTAATGATAATGCCGGCAAACCCTTAGCTTGAATAAAGCTAAAAACCACCATCAGAACACTACACAACACGATAAAACAAGATGCACAAAAACTGGGCTTGTAAAATTTTATTTTCCAAAAGACACCAGGAGCATATCTATTGAGCTGTATCTGCAGAAAGTCTTTACCAGTGTCTTCCCATCATTTTCACCCGAATTCTCCCTCCCTGGAGCTCTGCTCTTATCTTTCACTGAAATAATCACTTTCACTGTCTTGTTATGAATGGTGGCAAATAATGTTGTGCCTGTAGAAACGTCTGTAAAGGATTATGCATGTTTTTATATTGTGTACTGCAGTGTTTACGAGGGTTTTGTTAGCCGCTTTCAAGTAAAGCGATGCTGACAAGTCTACTAGCAACCAGACGAACAAGACTGGTCAATTAGCTTCCTCTCAATTCTGTTATATTATGCTGAAGTACTAGAGAGAGAGCCAAGATGACCAAAGATGTCTGTTTGTCTCTTGCTATTGAAAAGAAAGATCTACTTGTCTCACTCCTCTAGAGACTTAGTCCTTGTTTCACAGAGATTCCCAGCCTGTCCAAACAAGGGCGATTATTGTGTGTGGCATTCATGTCAGTCAAGGTTAGTGGCCTATTCAACAGGGAAAGCTTCAGCATTTAACTTTCAACTAGTGTCAAGGTATGTGTACACAACACATGACAACAGTTTTCACAGCAGTATAAATGCCAAAAAGGGGGCATTTAAAATTCAATGAATGAGGCTAGTAGATTTTCACAACACAATGAAGGACATACCAAAAGAAAACTTGGGACTGGGCTCTCTCTAAAGGTTACAATAGAGACTGGAGCTCAAAGCCAGAGTCTGAATAATCTTGGTATCCTGTCTTGTCATTGTGGTTTCTTGTCAAAAGAAGAAAGGTGTGCCAATTCCAAATCCAGGACTGTGCCAGAATCATGGCACAGCCTGCTTTATGAATCCCGAGACAGGAAAGCTGGGAAGGTGGGATCTGATAAGGTGGCCGGCTGGATACCAACAATATGAGGAACATCTGTCACTCAACTGCTCAGGAAGTGTGGTCATTACAGCCTGTAACACAAATCCCATTCACAGGATGGGCTCTTTTATTCAGCCAAGCTTCTACTGACAGAGCAGAGCAGGGCTAATCAGGAGACAGTGGAGCTGTGTATGTTGCTCCAGTGGCTAGAAACAGTTATCTGGGCAGCTCCAAACCAGGACTGCTCTCTGTGGTTAGGATCTGGCTCCACAGCAACAGTTTTTGTCAAGAACTGGAGGGTGCTGCAAACCATAACAAATCAAGAATTGAACTGGCCTGGATTCAGGGTGAGTACTGCTAGTTAACATTAAAATGGAAAAAAATCCACAAGACACATACTGTAGGTGAAGAAGCATTCCAAACTGATTTAGGCAATTTGCTCAACACTGTATCAAAACTACATACTACAATTTTCAGTTACCTCAAGAATGGATTAAATGCCAGAGCTGTTGAGATTACATATTTGACAATTATAATTCAAAAACTACACAAGCACTGAAAGTGAACATAGTTTTCACTTTTTAGTTCATTTGAATGCGTCCAAATCGGACAAAAGTTAACAATTCCGCCATATCCACACATGATTGGACACACATTTTAATGCTTAAATATGGCACAACACACCTGCCTTCAGCAAGATACAGGGAGAACCTGCTATATGCTGACACTAAACATTTTGAACACCAATGCATAAAATAACTACACAGCAATAATTATTAATAACGTCACAGCAGCTACATCTGCGGATTCGGATGACTTGTGATCTGCGACCAGGAAAGGCAGGTTTATCAAAAAATACACACTGCACGAACCTGAAAAACCTGAACCCGAGTAAATCTTCCCCAGAATGCCTTTGTGCTGATTTATGCGTTATAAGTGTGATTGCTGAGGGCAATCCTGGGCCAATCCTATCGTGACAAAAGCACTGGGCACCGCTCATCACTTCCTTCACAAAGGAGCTTCTGGCAAACTTTCAGTGATGTAAGACAAGGAGAACATACTCGCCACAGCAAAATGCACTTGCAAAGTTCAGATGGGCTAAGCCTGCCATTGCAATTAATCTCACTAAGGTCTACTATAAAAGCAAGGCAGACAAAATGAATATTGACCCAGAAAAGTATATAAATGATTTATACTTAAAACACACCTTGCAATTCTATGCTTTACTGAGCTTATGGTCTCAGACAGCTGAAGACTTATAATTCCTATATGCAATGGATTTGGCAAAGTGCTCATTTCAACTTGGCAGTTCCCAGGATGTTCTCTTATACATTCAATCATTATCTGCATTTTCTTTAAGCTTTCTGCAATTTTCCATGAGCTTTAATTCATTCTAACTACTACACACACACTGTAGAGAGAGAAATTACAGTTAAGCGTTAAGGTTTTTTTTCAGCACTGCTTTGCCTGCAAAGTCAAAAGAGGATAAAACAGATCACAGTGCCCTGCCTTGAACTCAACTCCCTCCAGATAAAGCTCTGTGCTGTAGGAACAGAAGATAACAGCTCAACTGAAAAACCAGAGGAGCAGAGGAAGACAGACCGTGTTCTTTGATAAGTCCACAGAGGGAAGAAATATCGCTATAGGACAATGGAAGAAAAACAGAATGAAATCTGATTCAGGTGAAGGGACTTCTGAATGCTTCCCTTGAATGTCACCATTGTTGTTCTGAAATAACTCTGTTTCACCATGCAGTTTTCTTCAGCAAAAAGAAAACAACACTTCTGATCTGGCTAGAACACTTTTTATGTTTTAATCCAGGCCTTATTCTGTGAATGTTCTCGTCAGTGCGCATGAACCTAATACATTTCAAGACAAAGGCTGTCAAGTTTGGATTGTGCTGCTTTGTTAAGTTAGAATAAAGGCATCTACGGCACGAGCAGACTTCAGCATGCCTAGAATTGACATAATCCACTACAACATAAAAATGACATTAAAATACACATTTTTTTTTCAGTTGCAAATGCTCTTCTTGCAAAACAAACCACTTATGTGGGTTTGAATTTGAAAACCATTGAAGTGTATAGAGATGGTATCACAATATAAGGGCTGAACTTTACCTTCCTGGATAGCTTCAACTGACAGGCATATTGCTCCATTTCAGGATTAAGATCCCTTATGTTGTGTGGGATGACAGCAGCTATACACTGCCTCTCAGAACACAATAAACAACCTCTGTTCCCTTCAGGTGGATCCCACCCATCGTCTGCAACCATAATCGCAGGGAAATCGCAGACTATTCATGTAAAATCCATGGTGAAATATCTTTCTGTAACCACAATGCTTTTACAATTACCTGCTGCCAAGGGAAAATGTCTGTATGCCCATTAACTTTTAAAGGGCACATTTCAGGTCACAATAAAACATTTCCTGGTCATTCTAATTTCAGTGTATCTCAAAGCTTGCTCAATTATAGGGATCACAGTCAATATTCTCTCTCCACAGAACTATTTAATGAAAAGTGAAAGATTTATAAAATCTTTCAATCGGCCAACTGGTTTTGCTCAGCTGGAAGCTTTTGCCTCACCAAAGTGTTTCATTTCTGAATGGTATAAACTACAATATGTATCTAAGACTCAGAGCCCATTTTTCTCCAGCCTAGGTTGTGAAATTCAACTTCCAACACACAGGAAGACATGGAGTTACAATAATTCAGCAGCACATCAGTATTCTGTATGACAAAACCTGAAACAGATCAAACTGCTATGCAGTAGAACTCACCTCTGCTGCTCCAAATCTGTATTATATGTGTTTAATTAATCAAATCAAAATTGAATCTTCAAGTGAGAGCTGGGAGAGGAAAACACAACGAGATTACATTGTTCATCTTCAACATACTGTATCAGAGTAAAAGGCTGGACTAAACAACACAAAGAATTCTGTTATTTGCTGAGATCCTTGGGTTGCTTACAAACCAAAGACAGCTAAGATTTGATATTTTTATCACCACAGTGGAAAAATGTTCAGGGAATTTTGTCTCTCACTGCCACTTTATACCACAGAAACCTTCCTCTTTCATTATTCCTGGAGTGTTAAAGACACTGGAAATACACAATGTCACCAGCTGAGAACAACTCTCTTGCTATAAGAAACTGGCCGATACATCAGCATGAACAGATTCTGGTGTTGCTAACTTAGTTTTTAAGAACTAGCGACTTCTGTACAAAGATACGAAGCTTGGTCTGAAGACCCCTTAAGAGCAACTTTACCCTGGCATGAAGCACCCAGATGAAAGGAATGTTTGAATTAGCCCTGGCCCAGTCTTTTCTAACACCATTGGAATTTAAAACTGACCACATCTTGCTCAGGTATGAAAGTGTTCTTTGGTTTCAAAAGAAAAAACAACAACTATGATGGGGATCGTGCAGTAACTTTGGTTGGTACTGTATGAAGAACAACATTTTTCTCCAGTGTTCGAGGGCATGCAGAGGTACCCCAGTATGCCCTGAGAAACAGTGCCCCAGTGTGTCCCCGCCAGAACAGGGGCTCCTACCTGTCTGTAACTGTAGCCCTGCAGCAGGAGGAAGTAAGGGAAGTCGAAAGGGGGGTGAATGGAGTACTGTGTGGCGTTGTCGTCGCTGCTCTCCGTCTCCTCCTTCTCCATCCGCAGACACTGGGCCTCTTTGTCCGCCTCCGGCTCCGTGTCCTCCAGCAGGAGGGGCTTGGCCTTGTGGGGGTCCTTGGACTTCACAGACAGGTCCATCTCGCTCACACTCCTCCACAGCGCCAGGCTGCTGTTGACGTTGCCGTCGATGAATGCAGAGGTGACCCGGGACCTGATTTTCTGCAGCTTGCGAGCCTGGGCGTTGATGCCTGAGAAATGACAGAAAGGTACCAGAACTGCTATCTTTCCAACTGATGCTCTAGATTAGGCGCAAGCAGTGCGTTTCAAAGCGCGTGGTTCTGAAGTCCATTCATTCATTTTCAGGAAGCTGCTTAAACCTGGTAAGGGCCATGTAACAGGAGCCAAGAAGGACTACACCCTGGAGGGGAGGGGATGCCTCTAAATTGGGTATTTAAATTATTATATGCACTCACACACACAGACAAATATAAGATACAAATTAACCGAGACACTCAGGTCTATGGGAAGTGGCAGGAAACTGAAACAACCACAGAAAACCCATGTCATCATGGAGAACGTGCAAACTCCATATAGTTTGTATGGGGGGGGAAGCATCCCAGGCCAGAGTGAAGCCCAGGACTCAAGGGCTGTGAGACAGCAGCTGTAAGGACCAAACCACCCGATACGTTCATTTTAATTATAAAGATAATATATGAAATAGCTGAAATATGTTAAAATTAAAGATGCACAATAACTGCTTATAAGCCCTTTTCCGCAGAGAAGGAACTGAGACTCCTCTTGCTCAGCAGTTTGAACATGAACATGTCCAAGTTGTTCTTCATCTTCAACTTTTTTTTTTCCCATCATGACACATCATGAAAGAAAAAAGGATCCTCTTCCCAATGTCCAAAAGGAGCCTATGATATTTTACCCTAGTAAATGTGAACGACACTGGCCCTATAATCCTGTGGCTTACCAAACCAAGACAGAGTTTAACTTTTGTTGTCATGGTTACCAATAGCCTGTATGTTCGCTTACCATACTGCTTTACACCTGTTGTTTCCATACTACATGACTTTCCCCATGCTGCCCTCTCACTTTAACATCCGCTTCCATTCTCCTATCCAATCTCACTCATTTGGTTTCTGTCCAGCAGAAACACCAGAGCGTTCTTGTAGGCTGTTTGAGAAAGGTGGTGAGAAATACTTTATAAAAGATGTTTAAAACTCCCCTGAGGATCCTAACATTAAAGACAAACTTTTCACCCCCTGCCTAGGAGAGTGCAAAAATGTACATACAGTAGTAGCAGAACTTCTCTCATAGCACTAATGATGATCTGCTAGTGGCTGTTCCAACCATAATATTTTATTAGAAGTATATCATTCTTAAATTTAAATTTTGGATAGATGTTTTAACTGAAAGCGACCTCTTTTAAACACAGTCCTGCTGACGGGAACTTCTGAGTTGCAAGACTGTCAAGAAATTTCACCTCATACAGACACAATACTCAACTTTCAGTCTGCTTTGGACTAAGTATAAAACAACACAAACTCTGCCATGTTCCAAATAGAGTGAGCTTGCAACCAATTCAATTTCCTTCACTGTGAGGAATTCAATCATGTTCCACAAAGTATCAACTTGTTTGAAAAATTAAACAGAACTCGAGTCATTAAAACATAAACAGATTCAAGTTCAATCCATTATATCCGCCGAGGAATTTACAGGAACCCAGCCTTCAGCCGGTCTCAGTAGGCGTTATCGGCTGTGGAAATGGGTGTTCTCGCATTGTTTTGCCAAAGACATAGGAGCTCATTACTGCTGCTCAGCTCCTCCCCAGAAAAGTCTCACTAAACCCCACTGAACACAACAGGGGTCAGCCAAAGTCAACAGAGTGCACTTCGATGTGCAGGAAGCAAGCCTTGATGGAAAGAAAAACAACTGACAGGTTGACATTTTTCACTTCCTCTGCGAGAGTGAGAGAGTCCTGCTCTTGGGGTGGGGTCTTCAGGAGTCCTGAGCCAGCCAAACCCACGAGCCACTCAGAAAATAAAGACAGCAGATAAAGGGAACCACTCAGGCTGTTTTCACTCTCAGAGAGCCAGCCCTCTGGTTCCTGCTGTTTATCTTAAACCTGCACGTTTCTGTATTCCTTTATCTCCGAAAGACCTCTGACCCCCCTCTCCTGCTGGCGGGTTGGTTACCATGATGGAGATGGATATCATCACCAAATGTGACTGAAAGGACAGTGCTCCCTCTCGAAGGAAAACTGCAGAGTGCCGCTTTTAAACCAGCCGCCTCTCCCCAAAACCCATTGACGTTCTTCACCTGCCTACCTCCCCAACCCCAAAACTGGCATATTTAGCTCGAAAAACTGAGCTCCCCCAAAGCATGAAAAAAATTCCAAATGACTTGGACAGACAAAATAGGTTTTGATATTCCTTTCTCCCCTTCCTCTTCAGGGTAAATTTACAGTCAAATAAAACACCTTAAGGATCTTCTAGACTTACTGTCAAGGAGCTATCAGCTACCTCAAGAGGATTAAGTTTAAAAGTTTTCACACTTTATATATTATATAAAGACTCTAGACACCAAGACGGGGTCAATTCTGGCTTTTCCATGTCAAATCCCTTTCTCAAACCATTTCTCATTCAAATTCCGTTTGTTTTTCTTAACAGAATTGGAACTGGGAATTAGTTTGAGGCAGGAACTGGAACACTGGAATTTACCCAAACACTGCTGGGTGGTCATGTCTGCAGCCCCCTCCTCCTTCAAGCAGCTGCGGTCAATATGGTCAACCCAAATGGCATTGAAGAACGGATAAGAGCAGGCCAGAACAGACCAGAACAAACAAGGGGTTGCGGGAATATGGCACATGGCCATTTTGGTTGTCAATCCAGTAGCAACTACCAACCAAATATGTTGTCATGCACGGTAAAGCCTCCTTTCAGTTCTTACCTTTCCTATGTTTCTACATTTGCATGCCAGGGCAGGGTAACAACTGTCATATTTAGAAATTTTCCAAAACTATGCTTGATCAGGTGGAATTTTCAACAACAGCAGTCTTCAATCTACTAGGGAAATGAGTATTTAGTAATGATATTCAATGCTCTCAAAAATGACTCAAGGAAAGCCTCAGTTTCAGTAAGTTCTCCAATTACCGAACAAGAACATATTCAATTGAATACTGATGGATACCTTTTCTCTTAGTTGGCTATTGACAAACGCACTGAACTGCTAATACATGAATTAGTGGAAATGGAAGTTTGAAATGGACACAGGGGAAACTGGGGACAGAGTGTTACTATATGTGCAACTTGATGTCAGAACCAGAGTTCTGTTGATTTTATAAGTGTTTGCAGATAATCATGAGATAAATGGGTGTTTATTCTATTAATATAAGCAAACAATTGAAGCAGTTCAGAATCTTAGTTCTCTACACCCTAAAGACTGCTTCTTGGGATACTGGAATCAGACATCCATGATACAGACCCTTAGCTATAATTTCTTCTGGAACTGTTTTGTACCATAAATCCCATTTCCAAAATTTCAAAAGAAAATTACCTACTGAAAAGCAAGTCAAAATTGGCTAAGATTTATTTATCTGAATATTTTACACATTATATTTCTCCTGTTAAAGGAACATTTTGCAACCATTGAGGCTTCACACATATAAAATGATTAAAACAAGGAACAACTGAACAATCAAAACTCTGTCATTTGTGGCCTATAATTTTTTTTTATTCTTCTCAATAGAGAAGCTTCCTTAATATAAGCATTACTTCAGTGGCAATGATGTCTTTTAGCACCAACATGTTGACCTCTACCTGCCGTAAGCGTGTCTTTCTCCCTGGCAGTCTTCTCCTCCACACTGGACTTTCTCTGAATCTCAAACCGCCGGGAGAAGCCTTCCTTGGGTTTCCATAGCGACTGCAGCATGAGGGGCTTCTCATGGTCGCCCACCACTCGAAAGCACTCTGTCCTCCACTGGTGGTCCTCCCCAGTCCTTCCAATCACGTCACACAGAACATAGTCCCCAGCCTCAGCCTTGTCCAGCGAGTACCTGTTTTAAATTGGAATGGTGTGTGAGGAGGTGCCATTTCGGGGACAACAGAGAACCACTGTCAAGGTCAACTCTATTTCCAAGAAAGCTGCACTGGCAAGACATTGAACATCATCAACCAAAGACTATGCTGATCCATGATCATACAGGAAGGAATGACTGTCCACCTTTTCTCTGCCTTTCCTCAAAGCATTTCACCCTACCATACTTCTGACTGCCTGATGATGATGTTCAAAATATACAGAGGCTACATGCATAATAAGACTCATATTACAAGTAATTATTCTGATACTATATTTTGCAAATTAATCAAGGTAAACTTGACCTTGATTTTAGGTATCAGATGTATAGTATGAAATACGTATACATCTGTAGAGAATATTGACCGATTTGTTTTCTTATAAACACACATTTCAAAGGGATTTGCAAATTATATATTGTTTAAATAAAACTTGTTCTAGTAGAATTAAAGGAATGATACAAACATTTTTCTATGTTACTAGATATAACATTTATCTATAAGTTATTATATTTAACCACTCAATTTGGATTGCTGAAGTATTGCAGATGGTGATTCATTGTGGAGCTGGAACAGAAATGGATCTGACCTCAGCTATTTTTATGTAGAAAATGTAGACTTTTTAGGTAAGTGACAGTCCAAAAAGAGAACACAGATATAACAGTACGTAACAGAAATACAACATCCTAACGCATAAAACAAAAACAGACATTTTAAAACCTTCCAAACACCTTCCATAGTGCACCAGGAGCTTTCACTGAGAGCATCAGATTTTCCCCCAACAGTGAGGTGAAGGCCAAAAATGTGGTCAGTCTGGAATTTTGTTAAATCCCAGATTGCTGAGGGATTTGGTGCTCAGTGATTCAATCAGACAAGGGAGGACACCCTTCTGTCTATTTGCTGAGTGGCTGTTTTTTTTCAGCCTCCCCCACGCAGGGGACTCATAAGTAATGAGAAAGCCCTGCTTGATATACAGCCCTCTGCTGGAATGCAATACTGTATGTCCTGAAGAGAGTGTGCATGCACAGGTTATCAGATCATACCTCATCCCATGCGAGTCAAGCAAGGACTGCATCTAGACAACTGTTGCCTTCTTCGGGAATGGTATGAGGTCAAACCACAAATCTGCTTACAATGCTCAGTGATAGAGAGCAATAATTTACACAGGGCTTTTTAAAACCTCTAAGCTCTCAACAAACAGAGGACTGCTTCCCCCTCCAGATCTATTATCCTCACTTTCACTTTGAGAACACAATGTTTCTATAGCATCACTGATATACTACTTACATGTACCTATGTAATTTGTAAACTCTACTGAAAACAGCAATGCAATGGTGTTCACTGTGGTTTGAAAGCCAGTTGCATTTAATCTTCCCCTACAGGATTCAGAACACCTTAAGGAATAACATACATGTCTGGAAAACTAAACAGAATGGAATGCTGTAGGTCACACAATGCAGTTGGTGAGAATGCTGAATTTAATAACAATACAGTTAACCTACTACTGTATATATGTTTTTTATCAGTTTTTTTTTCCATCTGCAAATTTCAACAAGCAAACTACCCAGATTCACATCCTGCTTTCTTCACACAAGCGTGGAAAGTTTCAAGGCTTTTCAGTTGAACCTCAGTTGAAGAGCATCGGTTACCTCTTCTCCATAACAACATTCTCTCTTCACATACCTGCACTCTTTACAATTTTACATTTGTGTACAGAAAAGCGGGAAGGAAGACGTCAGTTCCTGCATAAGCCCTTTTCCAAACAGCTGCGGTGAGCTCCTGTCTGCTACTCTACAAACAGCAGCCCTCACCTCTCCAGGGCCTCCTTCACCAGCTCCTTGGCGCTGGAGCGCGGAGTGGCCAGCACGCTCTTGTAGTTTGCGCCTTGGCTGATCTCGTTGCCAAAGATCTTCAGGACGCCGGGGGCGGACACCTGCATGGAGAGCTCCGCTGGGTCGTCCGTCACCTGGATCCCACCCATGACCGCCGAGTCCCCCACTCTCTGGCCGTCCTTCAGGTAGGGGCTCCGGCTGAACACCGTCGACAGCCGGTTGTTGTGCCTTCGGATCTTATTTTTGGCTGGCTGCCTCACTCCCACGCTTTCGGCCGAGCGGGTGGTAACGCTGGAAGAATTTGACCTTCGGCAGAGACGGGAGAAACAAGTGAGAGCTTGGAGGCACAGGAATCAGCTCACACAGAGACACCGGCCCTGTACCCCGAACCGACATTGCCACCCGTGGGAATACTCCTACATAGCTGAAAAGCAAAACCCAGTCCACAACTTCAGAAGTGAAAATTAAGATACACAACTGAGAACCGGGAGATCTTCTTTATGTGGACAGTTGAGGGTGTCTAGACTAAATAAACCAACACATCCTTCAAGAAATGACGCCTCCCTGGGGTCCATAAATAAATGACCAAAATAGGCTAGAGGATCTCTACACCTTTGTAAAAGGAGTTTTACAAAGTTTTTGATTTAGGAGTACATGACCATGAAGAAGCTGTGTAAGCAAAGTGTTACCAGGGAGAGATACAAAACACAGACAACCTCTTCAATACTGGATCTATAAAACAATTAGAAAAAACGGGGCTGGATGATTTAAAACAGAGCGTTTTACCTGGGAGTGAATGAACAGAAGGATCGTCTTTACATAAAAGATTGTGGCAATCTTGAACAGGCTACCCACTCATATTGAAGAAGATACCCTGGCTTCTTTCAAGAAACAACGAGATCCTCTGCTTATTTAGCTTCTATCTACCAAACTGGCTAGATGTATTAAATGGTTTCCTTTCATCTGTATCCTTTCTTATTTTCAGATCTGTTATAACAAGGTTCGGTCAGAAACAACAAGAAATTTTTCAGCCCCTGTCGAGTTGGGTGTCAAACACAACCATACACAGTGGATCTGCTCTGACAACTTTTTTTTCATTGTGTTTCTACCAAAATACAGACAATCAATCCTTTTGGAACTAAACAGTCTCTTTATCAGCCCCGGAGAGTGTTTTTGTAGAGTGCGGCAACGATTCTTTGTAAGATAAACAGAGTTGGTTGGAAAGGTCGGATATTTTCCAAATATGTTCAAGGAAGGAGGAGCAAGAAATCCCAGACTTTATAGACAACCAGAAAAATGAACCAAAGGGCCTTTCAGCCTGTGCCCACGATAAACACAACTTTTCAAAGATGTGCTTCTGCAAGAATCTCTATACTTGCAAACAAAAACGGTGAGGAGAGCTCTCGTGGAATAAAATGTTAACACAAGTAATTGACCAAAAATATTATATAATTACTTAAATGTGACATTGACAAAAAATATTGTAAAACATAAAACATGCTTAGCTTCGCTGTAAACACTGTAACCTCCAGAAACACTAAGGCCAATGACAAAATAAATAACAAATTAACTTTGGGTTCAGGTTTACTTTTCTTTAAAAAATAAAATGATACAATTTATATATGCATTACTATGCAAAGGTTTTAAAATGTTTGCACTTTTTAGTCTAATACATAAGAAAACTAAAAACTAAAACTTTGTCTTCACATCTTCATTCAATTCAAGTACACCTTGATTATAAAGAAAATGTTATCCAAATAATTTGCCTTATTCAAATATGCCTTTTTTTGCTGATCATTAGGAAAAATCACACTATGCTTATATATTTTAAATAAAATATGCAGATTCAAGATACAGATTAATCTTTTTTGACATAATTTTTTTTTATTTGATCATTCATGACTGATCCTGATATACTCTAGTGAGCCAAAAGCATAAACACTAAATCATCTCATGAGATACTGAACACAGATCATTAAGAGATTCAACCTGTTAAACGTCAGCAAAGAAAAACACAAAAAGTATCCACTCTGCAATGGTAATCAAGAGTGCTACTCTGTGTGCTACGATGTTGGAGGCTGGACTAGGCCCAAGAAGAGTCACTCATTGTCCAGTGCATTCACAGCCAGCAATTCCTAACCTGGCAAGACATCTCAGTCAAACAGTCTGGGAGACCACAAGTCCTGACATTTCAAGAAAACTGACACTCTGTCATGTTGCATCTTGAGACAGTGATAGGACAGCCAGTCGTGCTGCATCAGAAAAGGCAGGCTACAACAAGCAAACTGATGGAACCTGAGAGCACAACACTACATTGATCACGTCCTAGAAACTCACTTGCCGCCCTTGCCGCCCACAAAACGAGAGCAGGAGAGTGCACATCCTCATGCTGCTGACTGATAATAGCTTTCTGATGAGAATGTACAGCACATTGCAAAAGATATAGTAATTGCCAAGAGGGAGAAAGAATACAATGTTGAAACACAGACAAAAAATACTGCAAAGATTTTTTTCAAACCTAAAAAGTTTAATTACTTTATGAGCTAATGTGGGATTAGTCACAGAACATGAAAAATATTAATAAAACATAATTACGATTTACTTCATACCAATTTTAACAATTGAATAAATCAATAATTTGTATTATAGAAGAAGCTTCATCAGCGTTCGGTAACTTAAGTATTTAAGTATACTTGACAGGTTCAGTGGAGTCTGGATCAACTTAAAAGTAACAAATCACAGAGGTCTGATAGTATTTTCCCAGTCAACCTGAAGGAAATGAGTAAGTTATCCATACAGTAGATCCCTGGCTAGCATAGTTCTGCGCTCACGTAGAATGGGAGCTATACTCACAAGCTGGAGAACTGCAAATGTAACACCAATTCATAAAACATAGGGGGTCAAAACTAAACCAGGAAACTATAGACCAAACACTTACTTCCGTTACTTGTAAAGTTGTGGAAACAATAGCTAGAGATAAACTACAAGAATACTTACAAAACAATGGCTTTTTAAGACAGAGTCATCTTGGATTAGGAAAAGGGAAAATCTTGTTTGAATTACCAATATTCTTTGAACAAGTAACAATTACAGTTGATACCACTAAACTATACAATGTGATCACTGTAGAGTTCCAGTACGATTTTAGTAGGATTTAGTAGGTTGATTCTCAAAATAAGAGCCATAGAAATCCTGGGCAATGCATGCATATGGATGAAGAACTGGTTAAAAAAAAGAAAACAGCATTTCATCGTAAGGGCCCTAACCTCTAATTGAGTATGTGTATGCTGTGGTGTCCCACAGTGATCCGTTTTAGACTCACTGCTCTTCCTTACATACATCAACAATTTAGATTATAATTATCTAGTTAGCAAACTCGACAGATTTGAAAAGGATACAGAAATAGGGGGAGTGAAACAATAGCATGTGTGTCAACACTGTGGATTGGGATGGGCAGATGACATTTAACACAGAGGAGCTCAAAGTGATCCACGTAGGAAGTAGGAATGAGTACCAAACCATAAAGATCTGTGTGTTTATATGGATTTTTCTACTAGTACTCTATGTACTTTTCAAGAAGTTGTGGAGAGGCAATGAAAAAGCAGACAGAATGCAAAAGGTATTAAATTTAAATCCAAAAGAGTTATGATTATGTTTTACAATGAACATCGGGACCTAGAACAAGGAGATTTTGAGGAGACTTGATCCAATCACACAAAATTCTCAAAGGGTATAGATATAGTCAAGACAGGGGATTACATCACACTCAGTACTGAGGCAAACACACAGGCTTACAACTGGAAAATAACTGGGAATTTATTTAGGACAAACCTGGGAACCAGTTTTTTCACAAAGTGTTGTGGGTGTGTCCAGAACAATCTTCCCAGCCAGATGGTTGAGGCCCAGACTGTGGGCTCCTTCCAGTAATTCTCACTTGCAAGCTTTCTTATGCTTTACCTATTCCCAGATAGTCTCAGATAACTTCAGTGATACTGATACTAAACTTGGAATCGGGTCCACATTCCTCTTTCTTTTGAAAGTCAATTTTAATTATTACAGCTGAGACATTCAGACCAATATGTCTTGCACCACTAGAGGCACCATGACAGATTAGAATGAATTTGTGTCTTCCTATAGTCAAAATACCATTCATGGCATATTGTGTTACAACACTACTTGAGGATTTTCTGCCTTCAAACACCAAACACCAGTTATTGTTCAAGCAAGGCTCCATCCCTCCATTTTCAAACCTCTTTATCCAGTTCACAGCTGTGGGGGAGACAGAGCCTTGCAGAGGGAGCAAGGCAGGGTATACCCGAAAGGGGACGCGCACACAGACACAGACACATAAACAATCACAGCAGGGCCAATGTTCTCAGAACACAATTAATCTTTGGGCTGTGGGAGTACAATGGAAACCTATGCAAACACAGGGAGAACGTAAAAACTCCATGCAGGTAGCACCCCAGGAATTGAACCCAGGACTCCAGCACTGTGAGAGTCTTCATTCATACATATCAACTGTCATCTCACTAAATCCAAATGAAAACACTGAGTTTGTCTGCATCAAGCATAATCATTAATCTATAGTCCAGTTCCTATGGCCTCACACATTCTCAGTCCTGAAGTCTTGTTCTCCTTTCTAAAAGATTATATCTGCAAGATGTCCTTTGAGTCTCAGAAATTACCTTTATAGTGTTGATGGACAGAAGCCGAGACTTGAAACTGCTGCCTGCAGTTGTCATTTCAGCATTTGCCTCCTTTCTATACAGTATATTAATGATTTTATCTTCCAACAATTGTTCATCCTTGCTAGCTTCTTCCAGTCCTGGGTTTGTCAATTGAAGATGGATGATATCAGTTTCAAATGACAGTTTTGTGATCTGTTTCATTCAGTGTTTTGTGCAGGAAAAAATATTTTGTGAGCTTCTACCTAAATTTTTGAACATTCTGTTTTATGTTGTTTCTGAATACTTAAATAGTGTACTACAAAAATAGTCATATAGCTTGACGGATGTGTAGAGAGAGAATGTTCCATAATTAGGAACACCTGCAAAGTCATCACTTGATTGGTAAATGTGAAGGATTAGTTACAGCAACAACTCATATTGACAGCTCGTGTACAATAATTTAATTCTCTGTGATATAATTATTTATTAAATAGCAAGCAATGTGTCTTTTAATTCAAATTTAGAGGAATGAATAACACTCAAGGTTATTATAATAGTAAAAAATGTTGGTGGAGGATTTGAAATTGCTGAATCTTTATAACATCCGTACACTAACTCCTTTAAATGTCTTTGTAAAGATTATTTCACACCAGTTAATAAATATTTCTGACAAGGAGCACCCTGCGATGTGTTTATGGTAGCCTTTAAAGAGCATGCAGTTGCTGAGAATTATGGGCATTAATATTAATAAGCTCATATCACACATTAACCCTAATAAGGGTGAAACAGCTGTCTATGGCTGCTCACTTTGACCCTTAGCCATAGAAGATAGAGTAACAATGAGATGTTATAACATGGTGTCATCTCCCAAGTATTGTTATATACAGTAGCATGGGTTAGTGTAAACATATACATATGAATTACATATACAATAAATACAATGACATCTATTCAGTATATAAATGTAATTAAATACCTCAAATTGAGGCAAAGTGGAATTCCTTTCTCTCTTATGTTACGTCAAGCTGAGACAGCCCATACAGTATGTGACCCTTGATGGAGTAACTGGTTTTAAATGAATAGAATACTCAGACTTCACTACGGTAAGGGCCCTGTCTTGAAAGGTAAACTGAGCTACAGAACAATTGTAATGTCCAGGGTGGATACTGCTGCTGTGTATGGAAGAAATAAAGCTTTAGTAGCACAATATAGGTTTGCTGGCACCCTGCCTGCCACAAGATTTTCATTACTATAGGAGAGAGGTGGAGTTTGCAACTAAGGAACCAAGAAGAGCTCTTTAGCCTTCAGGTAGTCCTGTAACTCTATAATTGTCTGTGCTATTTCAGCAACACAGTGTCACAGGATTAAAATGAGAAAACACCTGCTTGTGATAATTTGAGCTGTGGTCTGGTGCTATTCAAAGGTGCTATACATTCAGCTCCATGTAGCATTACTAAGATATACAGTACCTCAGTTGTGGCTCTACAAGGCTTTAATGGGTTTAGATCAATATTCAAGTTGTTGAAAAGACCAGCTGGACTGAAAACACAGACACACTGGGACCCCAAAACCAGGACTGAGGACCCCTGCTTTAATCTGAAAATCAGCGATGTCAACCACTGTGCAGTGTGTCAATAACTGCAGTGAAGATGTCAAGCAGACATCTAAAAGCTATAACCTCTGCTAAAGATAAAAATATCCTGTTGTCTGCTATTTAATTTTTATCTTCAGGTGGTCTTGAAAATTCTTTAGATTACCATGTGAAATTGCCATCAGTCAAGACAGTTCTTTAAAACACGCTTTCTGGCCAGGATTTGAGGAGATGCTTCATGCAGTAAAAATGTGATAAAAACCTAGTTCAAGTGATTTCAGTGCAAAATGACACAGAGACAAACTACAATCTCCATCAATTGTGTTAATATATTCTACCAACAGCTGGACATGAGAGAGTGTTGTGCTACTGATAAGAAACACCTTTCATGCTACAGTGATACATGTACGGTTTGTACGATAATACATATTATCAACATATTGAAAAGTTAAGAGGAACAACGCCAAAGCTCAGACAAACTAACAGTTGATTCCTTTCATTTTTGCTTCTCTGACTGGATCTCCGCGTACAGTAAATCATCAGATCACCGTGTAGCACTGCAGATGGGAACGGACACCCCGTCAATGCACGTGCCCTCCACAGCCGTTACCCTAACTAACCGGATTGCTAATGCAGCTACATCGCCGTCCACACCACACGCGAGACAGATTGCGGCACTCCAGTAATCTCCGTGGGCGGCAGGGCCTGACAGCACTTCTGATCTGAAGCTCTTTCAATCCTCTGAGCAAAGGGCTCCGTTAATCCCCTTGAACTGTCAAGGTTATTTACATCGAAACGACGGATGTCACCTTCTATCAGGCACTCCGAATTTTACTTGGTGTTCTAAGCCAGTTTAATTAAATATTTCTGATAACTTCACTACATACCCCCAAGACAACCACGCTAGCAAAGAGCAATTTTACAGACCTTCAGACTTAAGACACTCTTAAGAAATCGCCACAACCACAGTTTAACAAAAAATGTCTTTGGTTTGGAATTTTGCTGTGGATAAATCTTTCAAAAGATTACTAGCACTACATCAACGTCAATTATATCTTAAAAATAACATGTACAAATCCCATACTGTACTTATCTAAAATGTAGACCTGTCATGTTTTTTGGTTGGCAGAAGTTGGCTCCTGCCTATACTAACCCATAAGTTACTGTATCTATTAATTATATTTTGTTTACGTCAGTCAGGTCTGGTGAATGTTTCACAAGTGAGCCGTCACGATTTTACGACGTGTTAGGGTTTATGATATAATGGTGTGCTAGAATAGATTTATCTCCAAAGCTCACCAGACGTCCTGGACTTCGCGTGAGAGTGAAAGGACAACAACACAGCTCTTCTCCGGTTCCTTAGCAGGATGAACACGAGTGCCCGATTCCCACCCCCGTATTTAAATAAATACCTGGACAGGTGGGGCCGGCTGTCACAACAAACGTACTGTATGACGCCTATGACACAGCGACCAGGAGTTAGCAATCAACATGAACTCCTTCACCCATACTTAAAACAGCAAAATTAAATAAAACCCAAAGACGTATGTGCTTTTATCTTAGTATCTCCAATAGGAAAACTAACGCTAATAGTTGTTTTTTTTTTCTCGCTAGTGTTTTCAAACCCAAGGAACTGAACTTGCCCTTATAGTAAACTAGACATCCCTAAAGTAAAATTCACAAAGCAATAAAAACACACCACAATCCCCACGAGAAATATGGGCATCTAACTCAGCAAAGTTGGTGAATGAGTGAGCGCACTATTAGAATGAAGTTGTTGAACACATCATGGAATAAGCACGAAATATATTTTTTCATTGTGATAGGATTAGCTAAAAGACGCTGTAAGATTTCGGCGATTGATCCCTTCAACTCGATCGATCAGACTCGAACTAGAAACGACTACGAACTAAAAGCAAAACTGAAATCCCCCCTTGCTCCCCAAGTACAGCAGGTGAACAGGCCACCCCCGCCCGTGTGAATCTGCTCAAACCAAGAGGTACAGTACAGCACATGAGAAGAGGGGAAAGGCGCAGGTGCGTATTAACCCGTTACTTACTGCACGGATCCATTGCTGGGTTTCCGGCCCAGTTTAGCTAAGCGTCTCTTTGGCGAGCTGATCAGCAAGCCCACGGGGAAGTTTAAAGCCTGCTTGGCTACGTGATTACTTCGCTCTTCTGAAATCATTTTGACTCCTTTTTGTTTTCTACGTGCTCTCCCGTGTCTCTCAGAGTGTCCCCGACTGGAGCTGCAAGTCTCTTTTTCGCATTCCAGATAAAGTTCTGAAGTCTCAAGCTGTAAAGAGAGGACTGGATTTGCGAGCAACTACGTCCTTGATTCTTTTGGGTGCCAAGTGCTTTTTTTTTTAATCCACAAGCACACAACGATCCTGTTTCCTGTCACTATGAATTGGCGCTCGGTGCCCCTCAGTGCGGAGATTCTCCCTGTGGCTGGCTCGGAGTAACAGGTCCGAGATGAAGAAACAGGCAATCTCATGGGCAGAGACTGACGATTTTCAGCTTTTCAGTCATGCCACACACTCCTCGATTTTCACATTGAAAAAAAGGGAGAAAGTCCACCCCAACGCGTAGGGTTTCAGATGACTCGTCTGAAATCAGGTGTTCACCTCATTTCTCCAATATCGTGCTTCGAAAAGACAAACGGATCAAAACACCGGTATAAAAAAAAAGCCTAATTACTTTTTAAATTCTTTTGTAGCCCCATTTCTTAATTGCTATTCATATGACTAATGTCACAGAGAGGAACCTTAGACAAGTCCAGAAAAAACTGTGATTTCACACAGATGAATCAAGTACATATTGAGGCAAAAGTCCCAAACGAGAGAGGTTGTTCGATATCGAAATCCCGCTAGGTAGCTCACAATTCGGCAACCAGATTTCGAAGCTGGCGTTCAACTTCACCCATCTCTGTGCGCTCAAGTGTCGGTGCCACAGAGCTCAGTGCGTCGTCAGAGGACAAACACAAAAAGTTGTATTGAATTCCTCCCTTACGTCATCGCTAACTGCAGGATTGGGAGAAACTTCCCCTTCGGACAAGGAAGGGAGGATCGTACTCTTGCTTGTTTGTGTTAAACCGTAAGAGGTTTGTTTCTGTTCAGATATGAGGGCAGCCTGGTTTCCTCTTGTGTTTTCACACGCTTGCTTTGCAACTGCTTATAATTACGAAATGGCTAGTCCGCTGATAAATCGATTAAGGAAAATTGTTTAACGGCTTGAGTAGCCGGGTCCTTCTACAAAGCCTGGGGAGATGTTTTTTCAGACACAAATGGATTACAGTACGACTCATCATCTTTTCCTGCAACGTCTCCGGCACTATTGCCAACCTTAACATTTTCGTAGCTTTAAAACTGACTTTCGGGTTTCCCAAACCCGGGTTCAAACTCATTTTTAGTTACGTTAAAATTTAAGCGCTCTCAAATCACCAGCGTTGTTTAATAGAGTTAGGAGTCAACGAAATATATTCGTGCGAGTTGAATTAGATATGCGACAGGATTATGGTCCCAAAAGCAATGTAAAAGTAGAAAACAGTTCCAATTCATTTTAGGAACAGTTACACCGATTCATCCTAAGTATTCTGAATATATATTCTGAATATACTGTAGTTTAAGGTTGCAGATACAAATACAAATATAAAATTCCACACACAACCCCAGTTATCTTTATGAAGTCTGCAAAATGCAAAAAGTCTGTAAAATGAGTTTATTGGGGGGGTCGGATTTCAGATTTCAGATTTCAGCCTTCTCCAGCAGAGATGTGAACGAAATCCGAATACAGCTGGATCCTGTGCTGTTTAATACTGTTTAATGTAATTAGAATGACGTCAGCTCACCCCGAAGTGGAAGAAGGCACAGCTAGTGTTCAGGGTACTGTGGGCGCGGTATCTGCGGTTAACAGGAGGAAAGGGGAAGGGTATTGCACACAACGGGAAGGATATTACTTGATTTTTTAAAATATTGACTCGCGTCTTTCCTCGAAATTAAAAAATGGCCACCCGTATCCAGACTTGCTGATGATAAACAGCGGTGAAGTGTTTACTGATCGTAACCTGTGACATTTTCAATTTCATAATTTTTATTTTATTTTTACTGTGAATCAAATGGTATTATTCTGGCACACTTTATTTTCTTAATCTAGGGGAAATACTTTTTCTGTCTAAAGTCTAATTTGAAAAGTCTAAGTACGTGATGGAATTAAAACGTCTCTTAATACACCTTTTTCTTTTTTTTATGATCTTCGTAAGAACTAAAAAAAAGTTACAGCCAAGAGGAAAGAAGGCCATATCGCCCATTCTAGTCCATTAAGTTCGAAGTGTATTGATTCAATGACGTCAAAATGAGCTCTCAGTAACAACTGTCAATCAACCGATTAATTGTCATGCCATTAACGAGACCTTGAAGTGTTTTATAACTAATGGTAAAACTAATGTTTTGCGTCATTGGTTGTAAAAGACCTTAAGAAAAAATCCATGTATACTGTATCTAAATAATTAGGTTACTCATTGACTTTTCAGTTCTAGGGTTCTCCAGTCCAGCAGTTTCTATAAATTACCAGCTTCTACAGACTCTTCATAGTGATCAATTAAGCAAGTGATTTGTTCAATTAATTAACTTAGAGGTCTAGTGGGTCCACAGTCTTTTACTTCATACTTTTCCTCATCTCAATGAACCCATTAATTTAGACAGATTTCTGGTTTAAAGGTTCAGTAATACACACTTGTTGCCACTTTTTTGGGAGCAGTAACCTCTACAACTACTACAATATTTTCTGGTGTGCGAGGTGCTCCCCCTGCTTGTGAAAGCGTTAACGTCTCTTGATCCCACTGCGTTGTCGTCCTTTACTTAACTCGGTTTAGAAAACGGTTTAAATACAGGCTGAGAAATGTCATCCACGGTACCACATAGCAAAATTAATCTCTTGGATCTTCCATTTCGTGCCATTACATGACTGAAATTTCACTGAATCGATCTTTATTTGTTATATTATCTCAGGTGCGAAGGTGCGCCTGTTGCTTGTTGGGATAGACTTCAGCTCCTCCGTGACCCCGCATTGGATAAAGCAGGTAGAAAGTGAATGGATAGATACACCCGTTCTTTAGAATGACTATTTCCTATTTGTTTTGGTCAAAACAACTGTCACCACTCATGTAATCATGTAATTATTGCTTAATAATGTACTGTAATGCGCGGGGATTCAAATTCTGCAGTTTCAATTTTTAAACCCCTTTGAAAAAGAGAACAAGAGAATATATCATTTGATAACACTAACCTGGAGTGGGAGAGTGAGGTCAAAGGTTGACAGTCGAAAGATAAGAGACTGTATGCATATACAGTATACAATATACTAGTAAAAAGGAAAATTAGCCTTTTCTCTTGTAACCTAAGTCCTTTTGATTCCAAGTAACATTTTTTATTGATGATGCTGTGCCACTGAAAGGTTAAGATCAGCTGTAATGTGAAGAAATAATATATTGTAGCTGGTGGTCTTTATAAGTGTGATGCGTAAAGAGATAAGCAAGTGTTCACATTATAGTTTCTCCGTTTATAACGGTCTGTGCTGTGGTCAAATCATCCAAGAGCATAATCCAGGTGTATCTCAGTGGCCTCTGTTGGTAACGGTTACTAATGCACTAACCGCTAGTCCTACTGATCAATGCCACCAATTTGCAACTTTTTGCATTTTTTACAATAAGTTTTGTGAAGATATAAAGGCTTCGGCTTCGGCTTTAATTACTCTTCATAGAATGACTGGTTTCCAGAATTTTAATGTCTCCTGAAGAGCCCCACCCTGTTGCTATATTGGGTTTCTGGGTGGTGAAGTTGGTCACATATTTTCCATTGTGCAGTAGAATGGTTAGTCCTGCTGGCATTATTGCTGTTGATAAATGTCTTTAAGAATCAGAGGGTATCCAGCGATGCCTAAATCTAATGACAAAATGCAGGATTTTATCATTTAAAGGCTACTAAAATGCAATCTCAACAAAATGGTTAATTGAACGGAATATCGAGAAGAGTTGTCTGTGTTCAGGAATACATGCAGTATGCTGTATACAGTAAGTGAGGCTAGCATGGTGAAAGCAAAGGGCATGAAGTCCAAACCTTATGAAGCACTCAAACAGAAACAAGGGACAGATGCTGGAGAAGACTGCTAGGCCTGGTGCTTCAATAATCCTTAACACTGAGTAGTAGACATGCTGAAATATGCTCCCTCATCAGTCCTGCCTGTTCTGTTCACCTCTCCAGGAGGCTTTGTTTCTTTGTCCCCTGAGGTAGAACCAGCTGCTTGCCAACATCAGGACTCTGGTGACTCAGGAGACCCATGCCTATCATACTGTCTACTGACTACTTCTGTAGATAAACTACTGTAATAACGAACAGCAGCATTTCTTGGCACTGTGTTATAGATCCATAATCTGTGCTAATCACATTATCTACTGACAGCTGTAGTGCTGCTGTTCCTTGCCACTGTGCTATAGATCAAGAGATCTGTGATTAACTCTTGTATCTGACTATGCAAGAACAATAAAACTACTGCATTTTACTATTGCACTTGCATGTTTTAAATTTGAGAGGTGATACAGTGGTACAGTGGTGCAGTAGATAGTATTGCTCCCTTGCAGCGCTGGGGTCCTGGGGTGCTGTTTGTGTGGAAATTGTATGTTTTCCCTGTGTTGGCATGTGTTTCCTCTGGATGCTCTGGTTTCCTCCCACAGCCCACAAGCATAGTGATAGATTAATGAGCTTCTGGGGAAATTGGCCCTGGTGTGAGTGTGTTTTTCTCTATGTGTTTGCTTTTTGATGAACTGGCGTACTTCCCAGGGAATACCCTGCCTTGCTCCCATTGTTTGCTGGGATAGGCTCTGTCTTCCCCATGACTCGATATTGGATGAAGCTGTCAGAAAATGAACGGGTGGAAATAAATTTGAATTTACAACAATTTTTTTTTCCATTACAGTCTCCTAAAAAATACTTTTGCAAAGTGATTACAGGATAGAAAGGTTAGGATTCTGGGGGGGTGCATGTTCAAATCCCAGGCAGAGGTGGTAATGCTGTACCCTAAAGCACAGTAATTTACCCAGAATGCTGTGTGAATGTTCACCAAAATGTCTATGGGAAACAAAAAAGACAATTATAGCCCCTTTACTTTGGATAAAAGTCTCAGCTAAACAAATTGATTCATCCTAATAATGACAAAACTTAATTTCCCACATTCCACAAACATCACAGTACAGTATATCACAACAACAGCTCTCTGTACACCCCACAAAGCAAATAATGTAGTAAACTATTAGCACTGGGCAGCAATTTTAATTCTTTAAGTGATTTTTCTTTATTTTATTTAATCAGCTCCTTAAACAAGCAGTTTCTCAGGTTCACAGAAATTGAGCCTGTAGTCTGAAGTAATATTAATACATTTCATTCTTAATATTTTATATGATAGTCATAAAATATACAGGAGTTGATCTAGCTCAGTGTGAAAGTACAGTATAGCGATTTTGAACTCCTTTGGTAGAAAAGAAATTTACTACTTCCTGCAGCAGTAGTAAATATATCATATTTCTTATTTGAAGCAAGTCCTTACTTGCATTTAGAATATGTTCCCACTAGAGGGAGCGAGCGATACATTTGTTTTCGTACTGAAGAGCAGTAGATTTACTGAGCAATATACAGTACTTCTATGTAAAGTTTAGGTCCTTACATTTCTCAGAGATGTACAGTACTTTCAAGAATTTGTTGAAACTGGTGTCATCCTTTCTGACTTACTGCAGCTGAACCCTTTCCTTTGTGAAAATGTTAACGTGTTAATGAAAGTTAATGAAAGTTTGTGTATTTTCCATCTTTGTTAGGTAAATATCAAATTTCATTCTCAATCTAAGTGTGAAATTAAATTGTCACATTTGTTTCCCCTATGCCAGGAATGGGCAACTCCAGTCCACAAAGACCATAGGGTCAGAAAACTTT